CGTTCCTAGATTCGGGTGGGCACGGGGGAGGGGGGCGGGGCGGGAGGAGGGGGGAGGGGGCTGGGTAACATCCCCTGGGATGGAGGCAAGACTGTGGGTGCTGGCAGAGTGTGCTGGCTGCTTTGTACAGTGTGTGTGTGTGTGCGCGTGTGCTGCTGGACACCTGTGTACTACCATATGTTTCAGGAGCTTGTTCCCTCGACTGCGTCCTGGAGTGCTCGGGAGCATGTGGTGCAGGACGGGTCTTGACTTCTAGTATCTTCTAGTCAGTGGCCCTTGCTTTGCCATGCGTCGCAGGATGCCTTACCAACGGCCATGACATCGATTGCTGGCGCCGGGGAGCAGCTTGTGCAGGACGGGTCTTGAGTCCTAGGGAGCCTCTCTTGCTTTACGCCGCGAATGCCAGGAGGATGGAGGTCCTACTACGGCACCCGGTGCCGGTGCCAACATGCCTGGGATGGAGGCAAGACGGTGGGAGCTTGCAAAGTGTGCCGGCTGCTTTGTTGCGTGTGCGTGTCTCTGTGTGTGTGTGTGTGTCTGTGTCTGTGTCTGTGTCTGTGTCTGTGTCTGTGTCTGTGTCTGTGTCTGTGTCTGTGTCTGTGTCTGTGTGTGTGTCTGTGTGTGTGTGTGTGTGTCTGTGTGTGTGTGTGTGCTGCTAGACACCTGTGTACTAATGAGTTGCACACTCTTTCGCTGCGCCTCGCACTCTGTTGCTGGGCTGCGGCTCCGTGACGAGGCCAATGACTCTGCCTCGCCACCTGTGCCTCTGGAGGCCAGCGACAGGTCTGCTGTTGTAGCAGTTCAGCAGGCAGAAACTCATTCCCGAAGGCTCTGGAGATGCCCTTGACATCGCACAAGCCAGTGAAGCAGGAGCCGCAGGCCACTTCGTTTTTTGTGGCTGGACCCGTGTAGTCCTGATCACAAACCGAGACCCAGCACACGCACGAGGCCCCCTCCCCCCTCCCCCCCCATGCTCCGGACAGGTTCCTTTAGGCCACGAGCCGGTTTGAGCACCCCAAACCGGGGCATGCTTTGCACCCCCTGTCTCCCTCTCCATCTCCCTCTTCCTGTCCCTCTCCCTCTCCCTCTCCCTCTCCCTCCCTCTCCCTCTCCCTCTCCCTCTCTCAACCGAAGTTCCAGCCGTACTAGAGGATGCTTCGGAGATCTTCGGAGGGGCGGAACAGGGCTTCGTCTGCTGCTTTGGTCAAGACTTGGTTGCGAAGCGCTGTGTGTCCTTACCTTGGACGCGAGAGGCCTGGCTGGACAGCGTGGTCAAGCACGAGCTGCAGGCACTTCCACTTGGGGATGCTTCGGGGGTATATCGGGAGATATCGGGAGCTAGGATTGCCTATCGATGTCTTGAACCGCTCACGGGTTGTGAGGGGGTGAGGCTTCCAAGGCCTAAGTGAGATCCTGTGCTGAGTCAGATCGCTTGAGTTGTTAACGAGTAGCCGGACACGTGAAACCAGCATGTGGGGCTACTTCTGAAAAATACTCCAAATGTGTGGGTGCACACCGACTCATCTTTCCTTTGCAGCAGCTGCTGTGCACGTGCTCGGCAAATACTCGGCAGTAGGATCCAGCCTATGTCGATAAAGTTTGCCCTCCTAGTTCTCGTAATCTAGGAACATGTTCGTGTGCTGGTTCCCTCACGAATCAGACAGTGAAGGCCTAGTCCACAGTGGAGCGCTTTCTACTCGGGGATACCCCTTAGGTGGCTTTGAGCCTATGCACAAGTAGGAAATACGCGGCGGAGCAGGGGTTTCGTCTGCTGGTTTTAGTAGGGATTAGATAGTGAAGAGTGGAGTCCCCCCCCTCATGCCGAGCCTATTCTCAGGCCTTAAAAGCACCTTTCCTAGCTTGGTCCACAGTAGAGCGCTTTCTACTCGGGATACCATGGAATACCCCTTAATACCCCTTAGGTGGCTTTGAGCCTATGGACTATAGTGCCTATACCAAGCCAGGAAATACGCGGCGGAGCAGGGGTTTCGTCTGCTGGTTTTAGTAGGGATTAGATAGTGAAGAGTGGAGTCCCCCCCCTCATGCCGAGCCTATTCTCAGGCCTTAAAAGCACCTTTCCTAGCTTGGTCCACAGTGGAGCGCTTTCTACTCGATCGGGGATACCCCTTAGGTGGCTTTGAGCTTATACCAAGCCAGGAAATACGCGGCGGAGCAGGGGTTTCGTCTGCTGGTTTTAGTAGGGATTAGATAGTGAAGAGTGGAGTCCCCCCTCATGCCGAGCCTATTCTCAGGCCTTAGAAGCACCGGGACTACTCCTTAGGAAATACGCGGCGGAGCAGGGGTTCGTCTGCTGGTTTTATTACGAATTAGATAGTGAAGAGTGGAGTCCCCCCCCCTTCCCCCCCCGAATTTGTTGCCTGTCTGGCAGGTCCAGGATGTGCTGCGGGATGCCGCAATCCGGCGTCCGTGGCAGATCTGGTGGGAGACGTCCTAGAGGAGTGCACAGGGAGATCTCTGCCCATCTTGCTGCAAGAGCTGTGCCCTGCCAAGACTTGTCCTAGCCTGCTCCGCGCATGCTGCAGTCAGTTGCTTTTCTGGAGTGAAGCACACATACCAAGCTAAGGCATGCTCTTTCAGATGCTGCGAAGCAGGGTTTGTACGAGTGCCTGCCAGGGACAGCTCGATCCGATGCCGTGACCGTATCTTTGATGGAATTCACAGCTGTGGCGCAGTATTATGATGCAGGGAACCTGTGTCCGTGGCAGTTGCTGCCACTTGAGAAGAAGAGACAGTATGTGGCCGCTGACATAGGGTCCGCGGTGCAGGACCTGAAGCCAGGTCGCTGGGGAGCATCTCTGCAAGATTACGGCCTCGAAGCCTTCTGCAATCCTAGTTCTGTGCAACCGTCCGCTCCGAACCCCAAGCAACGATTCCTGCTGCGCGAGCTTGCTCGGTGCCTGGCACACGCCGCCTGGGTCCAGCGCATGCCCTCGGAGATGGCAGCTGCTGGCTCAGTGGACTGTGTCTCTGCTCCTGTCAGAGCAAAGCCTGAGAAGCCGAGCTGCCCTGTGAAGCTCGAGTTCCGGGAGAACCACGACCCTGCAGCACAGCCTACTGAGCAGAGCCGCCCCAGCATCCTCGGCGTCGAAGTGGAGGCCATGCTGTTGCGAGGCGCACATTACACGCCCATAGCAGCCTCGCACCTGGACTACGCTCAAGTCCTCCGCGGCATCACTGCTGCGTGTCGCCACTGGCGTAAGGACACTTGGCCAGAGTCTGTGGCAGTCGTGGATGGCGGGGCCGAAGCGGAGATAGGTGTCATGAAGAAGCTGTCGCACACGAACCTCCTCTTTGCCTTGCTTTACTCCAGGGACCACTGGGCGCTGTTGGCTGCAAACCGAGACCCCTCCAGCGGGGACACGGCTGCTTACATCTACGATGGTGGCAATGACAAAGGCGTGGTGGACCTGGCAACGGCCTTGCTGCAACATCTCCAGGAGCTAGGTTGGCTACCGCAGCCCACAGTGGCTAGGAAAGCTGCTGTCCCCCTTCAGCCTGACACGTGGTCCTGCGGTCATCGTGTAGTGCTCTGTGTGGATGCAATCCTACAATGGCTTTCTGAGCATCCCGCGACCTCACAACTTCCAGGACATATCGAGGCGGACGCCCTGTCCCCGGCAGCGGTGCAGCACCTCATCGATGCAGCCCAGCGATGCCACGCCATCAAAGTAGAGTCCATGCGAGGCCAGGCTTCAGAAGGGCTGGGAAGCAAGCAGCCGAAGCGCGAGCCACCGCCTCCTGACTCGGACAGCGACATGCTGTGCACACCAACTCGGCGACCGCGGCCTAGCAACGCATCGCCGCACACGCCGGATCGACCCACTGCGCCGCTGCGTAGATGCCGGGCTCCCCAAGCCAAGACAGCTGCGGCCTCCACGGCGACAACCAAACGGCAGAAGAAGGACATGATCGCCCGTGGGAGTGCCATTGCCAAGCAGTATGACATCTCGCATGCTACGTTCCAGAAAGAGCACGAGGCCCAAGACGCTGAGCATCTCGCGGGCCACTGGCACGCCTTCCTCGAGGCACTGGCTGATCTTGACCTGGCTCTGGTGTGTACATGCTGTCAGATGCTGCGGTCGAGGTGTGTGGTCGATGCCAATCGCCAGGAAGTTCAAGCAGTTCAGGAGGACAGCTATGCAGAGCAAATGGCTCTAGTTCCTCTGCCAGCGGAGGAAAGGCCGCTGGGCCCACGCATCCGCACAGCCGGCCGCCCAAAGAAGGGCGAAAGGCCGGAAGACCGTTGGAATCTCCACGTCTTCATCGCCAAGGAGCGGCAGGGCGTCTACATGCAAACCGGTTCCTCCTTTTCGGCTACGTGCAAGTACTGGTGTCCCATGCCAGCGAGAAATAAAGATCGGCAGCGCAACCTGCGCCGAGAAGCTCTATGGCCACGAGCGGTGCGGCAGGCACCAGCAGGGCCTCCTCCAGCAGGGCAAAGCTCCGCCCACAGCTGATGCCCAAGTGGCGGCAGCCGCGAAGCCTCCCGGAGACCGTTGTGTTGGGGTCGCCATCGAGGATGCCAGGCAGCCAGTGCACATCATGGAGGCGTCCATACGGAACTTCTGCGAGGCTGGACAGCCCAGGACAGTCTTCACGAAGAATGAGACAGACCCATTGGCTGAGATCATCCTGGATGTCACGGCCGAGTCCATAAGGATCCGCAGCAGGAGCTGTACTGGAGACTGCGATGCTAGGATGGATGCCTGTGCTTCCTGCAAAGCCGTTGCTCGCAACAGAGGCTTCTGGAAACACATTGCGCAGAAGTCCTACATGATCGACTGTGTCATGTTGGCACATGTGTTGCTGCACGGAAGCTCGGATGAGGCCGCCCAGCACATTGAGATGATGAAGCAGCGAGACTACTTTCAGCTTGGGTACTCTGGGTCCGATCTTGCCACGATCCTCCAGAAGCCGGGCAAGATGGAGAAAATCAGGGCCATCTGCTGGAAGATGGAGTGTGTGCCAGCACTTCGCAGAAGTGACAGCTGGCAGCGGTTCTACGATGCCTGGCTGACAAAGGCACCTGTACGACATAGCTGCGATCTCGAAGCTGAGGCACATGCTCTTCTGTCAAGCCAGCTAAGTGAAGCCATCGCCGCCGGTCGGGCACGGTCCATGGATGTGACCCTTGCGGCGAAGATCGCTGCTGGAGCTCTTCAAGGCGAAAGTCTGGTGCAATCCCTCATAACCTCCTTCTTGATGAAGTACAAGTCCGGTCTCCAAGCGGAGTCCGGCAGGTACAAGACGTCTAGCCAGCACATGGACTACGACTCCCTGGCAGACGCACTGGCCTCTCTCGGCAGGAGCGCCGACGTGGATTCCCTGCTGCGCATCTTTCGCGTCAACCCGAAGAAGCAGATCAAGATCGACCCCTGGATGCCCAGCCTGCCCCAGAGCTTCTGTGCAGAGGATGCGGTGCTGCGCAGAAACGTGGAGCTCAGCCTAGGTCTCTTGAAGAAGGCCGGCGGCCGATGCCATTTGATCCTGGACGAGACTTGCTGGTCGCCAGAGTATACGCTCCTGCGAGGCATCCACGCAGGCAAGGATGCCCTGGTGGGCGGCGTCTGGTGTTCCCAGCCCACGGACAGTTACGCCCTTCTGCCGCCCAACACTGTGAAGCCCCCAGTCGACAAGCTCTGTAAGCTGTCCTTGCATTGTGTCATGAAGCACCCGGCGACCAAGAAGTTCACCTTTGAGATTTGCTGCCTGCCGCGGCCATCGACAGCGACCGGGAAGGACACCTTTCTAGTGCTTGACAGCATCCTCGCACAGGCCACTGCTGCCAACGGTGGCCTGCCACCGCTGGGCTGTGCGTTTGACGGAGCTACGATCAATGGCGCGATCAATCGTGTTTTCCTTGGTCTTGCCGCGCCGGAAGAGCGAGCCGGCACTCAGTTCTTCGTCCATTGCAAGGTGGTTCGGCCCGAGCTGAAGTATTGGCCGTTCGGATGCTTGTACTACAAGAACCACCTCCTCACGGGCTCGAACGGGGCATTTCACATTCAGAAACGCCTGTCCCTTCAGCTGGCGTCCGGCTGTAAGGTGGTGGTACTGGGCTCTGCCTGGTGTTGCCTCTCCAGGCTCTTGGCCCAAGGCTTACCCCACAAGTCCTACTGTTGCGTCGATGTGCAGAGTGACAAGGCTGCCGTGCAAAGACTCTCAGTTCCCTGGATCGCTCGTGAGTGGGCCTGCCTGGGCAATCACGTCATGGGCCTCCTAAGTGGACTCCTGGCGAGCATCAGCACAGGCTCCTCCGGCTTCACGAAGAAGGAAATGGCTTTCAACGGCCTGTGCTTGTACTACATGATGCTCCTGCACCTCATCGACAACAAGTTTACTTACGGAAAGGATTGGGCCCACTACACACTTGCCGGCGTCACCATTCGCAACGTGTGCAGCCAAGTTGCTCACTCGGTGACAATGTGCCTCACGGAGCTGGAGCACAAACAACTCCAGGAAATCGCTATCGAAGAGCACTTCAGTCGCTGCAAAGAGATGTACAGAGGTGTCGAAGTCTGTCAAACCTGCATGCACTCGTTCTGCTGAGTAGGGGGTCTACTGCCTAGATAGAGCCTCCTTTGATTCCAAGCATTCTTTCCTTCCTTCGGTTCTAACATCACAATACGATGCCAGGCACTCCCTCTTTGGCCAACGGTCTCCTGGGGATCGCGAGGTCCCATTGCAAGCAAGCCCGAACTTTGAGGGACATGACTGCAAGCCAGCTGGAAGGGCCCTGCACCGACAAGTGCCGCGATCCCATGTCTGCAGCAGAGCTTGTGAAAGTATCGCACGTAGCCTTAGCAACTGCCGTTGACTTCTGGTGTGTCATCTCCGAGAACCAGACGCCGGATGAACTGGTGCGACAGCTCGTGGAATGGTGGTCCAGGGACGGGCCAAAGTTCTTCCAGTGCGAGGCAGAGGCCACTGAGGATGCAGGGGGGTGCCTGGATCCCGATATGGTTGAGATCACAGAGGAACTGGGGGGCCCTCCAGTCCAGGACTGCGGTGCTGGGAACTGGGGTTGAGGGTCTAGGCTTTCGGGTATTTTTGGGACTTAGGGTGTAGGCTTTAGGGCTTTAGGGTTTAGGGTGTAGGCTTTAGGGTTGTAGGGTTTAGGGAGTACTGTGCCATGCCTGTGCGAGGATCACAATCAGGACTGCCTGGATCGGGTCCAAGCTGTGCAGGACTGCTGCTTGGAGCTCGCATGCCCTTTGCATGGTACTTCCCTTGTCGGTTGAGGCTTCGCCTCTGCTTGTGCAGGATCGAGCGATGGTGCGGGAGGAGCTCGGGGACCTGGTGAAATCCTTGCAGGCTTCAACCGGAGAGACCGCGCCAGAGCCAGAGATCCAGCAGCCAGCTGCTGAGGCGGCAGAGTGTCCTCTCGAGACTCTGGAGTCAGGGGATAAACAAGTTCGGACTGTGGCTCAGATCCTCAAGCATGTGCGGCAGAGTGACAAACCGTACTTCCGCATCGGCGAAGCAGAATCCCTCGGTGAGAAAGCGTGCTTGAATCGATTGCGTGACCTCGTCTCGCCCATCCGAGACTTCATTCGCCTGGCACGTGTCAATGAAGGCATACTGTCCCCTCCCCTGCCACACTGCTGCAAGGCCACTGCGAGCTCAACGAGTGGAACACCCAGCAGCACCAGCTGGCATTAGCACGGCGTGAAGCAAACTTGTCACAGACACGATTGTCTCGGTCCCAAGCCTGGTGCCAGGCACAGTCCAAGTGGTGCGCCGAGGTCGCCAAAAAGGTGCCTGCAGCAGACGGGGAAGATCAAGCTATCCGGGACATGCAGGATTACAGGCCCTGCGTCGAGGACAAGGATGCCCAGATCCTCGTCTACTCCTTGGATGGAGAGGTCAACATCTGCCTCTGCCTCTCTGTCTTTCGAGGCAGTGTCGTGAAGAAGGCGGGTTCGGAGTCCGGGCAGGTTCGAGTTAGCAAGCCGATCCCCACCAAGCTGTCATGTGCCTGCACGAAAATGGTGCACGCAGCCGAGCTTCGGCGCACCACTCAGGGATGGGTCACATCCGTCCTGGCGGTGCCGCTGCTGCTGGAGCACACTGACATCCTGGGCGAGATCCTGCCGAAGGAGGTCAAGGCGACTGCAACAAGATTCCACGCCACCTTGTCGGCCAATGCCGAAAAGGCTCTCGAGATCGCCAAAAAACACCGCCTCCCGACGCCGACGCCGACAGCAGCAGACATGCCAGCAGTGACCGCAACAAAGCCGGGCATGCCAACCTACTTCAACGATCGCTCCTTCATGAAGGCAGGCCTCTCACAGCAGATCGAACAGTTCCTGCGAGGGCTCCAGAATGCTTACGACAATCTGGGACAGCCATTCGTCATAGACGGCAAAGTGCGATGCAACAAAAAGTTGCCGAGTGGGAAAATCTCCAAGATCGACGCTCCGTGGGCGGATCTCTGCAGAAGAGTCCCCAGTTTTTTCATGAAGGAGTGCAGCCATTTGCAAGGATACCGCTTTAGCCAAGCGGTTCATGGGGTTCTGGTGCCATTGGTACCAAAAGGCCGGGCACTTTTGGGCTTTAGTTGTCCTTGCATTGCTTTTTTGTTCCGACTACGAAGACATTGAAAACTTCCGTGCAGGCCCGACAGCTACCACGGCATCAGTGATTGCATTCTTCAGCCGTGTGGTCGCTTGTACAGCGGATGGCGTGGAGCTGACTTGCAACTGATCCCCGACGAGCCCACTTACCGCATAAGCACCCAGAAGTCCCATGTATCCAGTGTGCACTCGATTCTGCAATGCATTTTCTGTTCGGCTTTGAAGCTCGGGATCATTGCCGCGACTGCCCGTGGGGCGGGCTGCCGCCTAATCCAAGGATAGGGCTGCGCTGAACCATAGTGAACCTTATCATCGAACCCTTCATTATGTAGTGCTCTAAGGCTTCGGGGTTTAGGGACGGGTCCAGTGTCGCTTGTACAGCGGATGGCTTGGAGCTCACTTGCACATGATCCCAGCCAGTCTACTCACCGCATAAGCCCATGTAGCCAGTGTGCACGAGATGCTGTCATGCATTGCATAACACTTCTGCTCAGCTTCGAAGCTCGGGATCATTGTCGCGACGGCCCGTGGGGCGGGCTGCCGCCTAATCCAGGGATAAGGCTGCACTGAGCCGTACGACCCTGCCAAGAAAAAAGTCGTCCGCTCACTCAGTGTGTCTTGCCCAGACTTCTTCTCGGTAGAGTCCCTCAACCCCCTAGCGATCACATTTTGCAATAATAGGCGCCCCGCCTATTTCCCTACCCCCCCC